CTGTTGAAGAAAACATTACCTACATACATTTGATCAGGGCCCTGAGTTTGAATAACCCACCTTTTAAGAGTCCGTGTTTTGATATGTGGAAGCTTTTTAGTCCGATGTGGCCCCACTTGTAAATGCTTTTATTGTTTTGGTGTCATATTCAAAAAATCATTACCAAAACCCCATTGACAAAGGTTTTTTTTTTTTTGAGATTTATTTATGCATAAAAGGACTGGGATACAGGCCAGAGGTGCAGGTGTTGAGAGCATTCACCAAGACAGAGTAGGGAGCAGAACAGGCAGATTGATGAAGTACACTGCTGAGGGGAGCAGCGGGCAAGACGAGAGGTCTGCTGAGACATGTGGGTCACCTCCCTGGCCAGGAATTGAACTCAGGGATCGAACTCCGGCTGCTGTGGCTGTGGATAGCTTCATAGGGCTGCGCTTCAACCTGTTGCGCCACCAGAGAGGGCTCTGTTTTCTGTTAGGACTTTATGACTTCAGGTTTTACATTTCAGTGTTTGAGTTACTTTTTGTCAGTGGTTTAAGGTTCAGTTTTTTTTTTCTTTTGCATGTGAATATGTCTACTTACCCCAGTAGGATTTATTGAAGAGACTCTTCCCCTCTCCCACTGAGTATTATCGGTTCCCTTGTCAAATATTAGTTGCATTTTATATGCATGAAATTTTGTTCATAGTTCTGGAGTCTGTTCCTTTGGTCTGTTTGTCCATTTTCAATGCCAGACATGCCATTTTGATTTACTCTAGCTTGTGGCATAGTTTGAAGTCAGGAAGTATAATGCTTTCAGTTTGTTGTTAAGAGTGCATTGGGTGCATGAATACTTAGTTATGTCCTCTTGATAAATTAGCTATTTCTAGTATATATAAAAATACTCTTTGTCCATTATGACCGTTTTAGCTTAAAATATGCAATCATGCATTGTTTACTGACCAGGATATGTCTGAGAAATGCATCATTAGGTGTTTTTCTCATTGCATAAACATTATAGTATGTGAATATTATGCAAATCTACATGGTGTAATCTTTACTACATACATTGGCTATAATATTGTATAGCCACTGGTGCCATGATTATTATATGCAGTTCCGTTTTTTTTAATTTGTGCAGTTCATTTTTTACTAAAATATCTCAAGTGACAGACAACTGTATTTTTGTCTGCGATAAGTATACCTGCCCCTGTGTTCTTTTCATTAGCATTTGATTGAAATATCTATTTCCATCTCTCCATTCTGTGTTCTTAAAACACAAAACAAAACATTTATTTATTCATGCAAGAGCTGGAGTGTAGGCCAGAGGTAAAAGGGGGTGGATAATGGATTCACTAGAGACAGGGTTGGGAGCAGAACAGGCAAAGTTACTGAAATACACTCCTGAGGGAACAGGTCTGTGGTGCCAGGTGGGTCAGCTCCCTGCCTGGGGATCTCACTCCTGCTGCAGTGGTTGCAGATAGCTTCACAGTGCTGAGAGTTAAACCCTTGTGCCACCAGGGAGGCCCCATTCTGTATTCTTCAACTGAGTCTAAGTAGCATATTGTTGAGATCTTGGTTTTTACCCACTGAGCCATTCTTTCTTTTGATTGGAATTTTTAATCCATTTTCTTTGAGGTACAACAGGTCTTCAAATAATGTTTCATTATAATGTTGATGAGAAAAATAAATTGATTCCCAGTTAGGGCCACTGTCCTGTGGAGTTTTTATATATTTTTTTTCCATGCCTGTTTTGAGGTGTCTCTGGGTATTCCACTTTCTTCCCACATCTGCAACTTGTGCATGTTAGGTTCACTGACATGTCTAAATCATCCCAGTATGATGCACCCTGTCCTGGAATTCCTGTCCAGACTTCCCAAACTTAAGCCCTGAGCTGCTGGGATAAGACTACTGCTTATTTCACGGAATTGGAATAAGCGGTTTGGAATGAATGAAAACATTTTATTGTTTAATATTAGAAGTGCATTAGGTCATGACTTTGAAATTTGGTGGTGTTCTTGTGGCCAAAAATATGCCATAAAAACTTAACTCCTGTTCATGTCAAGTAGCCTCAGATAAAGTTGGCTTCCTTATACATTGTTTCACTTGAAGTCACAATTCCCAAGAATCTATTAATGACATTTTGGACTTCATGTGACTTTTAAAAAAAAAAATGTGTTTATGTATACAAGAACTGGGATACAGGCCAGAGGTATGGGGATGAGAGGATTCACCAGAGACAGAGTAGGGAGTAGAACAGGTGGATCTCCTGGAATACACTACTGAGGAGTGTAGTGAGTGGGACAGGAGATTTCTGCTGTGCCACATGGGTCACCTCCCTGGCCAGGGATTGAACTCGTGCTGCAGTGGCTGGGAATAGCTGCAGTGCTGCTACTTAACCCCTTGTGCCACCAGGCAGGGCCACCTTAATATAATTTTTGATAAAGTAAGGACTTACTATTGCAATTTTCATCTATTGAATGCTTCAGTCATATTCTTCTACTCTAAAATTTCTGGGTTTGGATGGTTTTCATTTATTTGTTAAATGTCTTTTTGTTCATGCACTGTGTTCCTAATTTCATCTAACTGACTGCATTTTCTTTGTTCACAAAAATCCTTTAAGAAGATTATTCTGATTTTTTTTTTTTTTTCAGAAGGTTCATAGACCTTCATTTTTAGGGTCATCTATTAGAGCTTTGTTAGTTTCTTCTGGAAATGTCATGTTTCCCTGTTGATTTATGTTCCTTGCTTCCTTGCATTGTACTGTGGATTTACTCCTGTCCATCTGTTCAAGCAGTTACCCTTTCCAGAATTTATAGGTTCACTTTAGCAGGAAAGACTTTGACCAGCCAGTTCAGTTTGAAGTACCGGGCAGGTCAGCTAAGTAGTTTCCGTGGGAGAGTAGGGCTTGTTATTGGGATCTCTCATTGGGTCAGACCAATGTCTATACCTAGAGGTTGGGTGGATACTGTTGCGTGAACTCCATGCTTGCATGAACCTGTTGAGTAGACTCCATGTTCATGCAGGACCACTGGAAGACTCTCTCCCTACTTGGGCAGGGGTGCTGGCTGTGCTTTCCAGGCAAATGGGGTCACTAGCCTTGGTCTGCTGTCACCTTTGATTAGGCAAAATTCCAAGCTGTGTTTCCTGCCAGTTCAACCTATACCGCAGGCTGAACTTGGGGATTGATCGAGGCTATGGGTTTGGCATCCGTGGAGTTGAGTAGAGCTGCTTGCACCTCATGATCACTGTTGGGCGGGGTCAGTAGCTGAACTTTCTTGGCCCATGGGGTCACAGACTATGTTCCTTTATTGGGCGGGGTTACAGCCTGGGCTTCCTGCCTTGGCAAGATTGCAGGGTGTGTTCAGACTGGGCTCCCCAGCTTGTGGGGATTGTAGGCTGAACTCCATAGCTGGATGGAATCATACATAGGTGGGGCTGTGCATCTGGCATGTGGAGTTGACTGGCCTCTGTATTGTTCTGGGTCACTGATTAGGTTCCCCAGTTATGTGGGTTCTGCAGCTGTGCTGAACCGCTCGGCAAGGGTGCTGACTTGGCAGCCCAATGGGGCTGTGGGCTGGGCAGTCCAGCTGCCCTAGTTCTCTGGCTCAGCACTTAGGTGAGACTGGGTCTTTGTTTCTCTCCCTGGGCAGGGTGGCAGAACGGGCTTCACTGCCAGTATATGACCCACTGACCCTGTCTCCAAATTACACAGAACTACCAGCTCAGCTGTCTACCAAAGGGGGTCACTGGCTCAGCATAGCTGGGCTGTCTGCTGAGGTGCTGTGGCAAGCAGGAATACCTCCTGCCAAGGCCTGAACGCTCTGTGCTCTAAGTCTTGCCCCCTTACTCTATCACTCTGATCCTCGTCAAGTCCTGAAGATAATTTCAGTGACCCCCGTGAGGCAAAACCTGAGTGGACCTCCTGAAAGTGTTCCGCATGCTGGGGGAGCTTGATGTCCAGCTTGGATTCTTCTTCATTATTGAAACCTGGGACCTAGAGGGCCCCTCTCAGGGTGGCAGTGTGCCAGTACACAGGGGCACGATGAGTCTGGAATATATCCTGCCCCCCCCCCTTCAAGAGTCATCCTTCTTGGCCCCTGTTGTCCAGTGATGTGCTTCAGCCCTAATCCCAGGCTTGAGGGTTTCTTTGCCATGGTGTCTTTTCTGTAGATAGCTACTAGTTGGTCTTCTTGTGAGGGGAACTAAAGTCAGGAATGGTCTGTGTGATGACAGCACGGTCTTCCCTTTATGCTTAACTTCAAAGGTTAAACATTTCCTCAACCAACTGACAGGTTATGTCTTACAATTTTACATTTCTGGGAATGTGGGAGGTGAAAAGTAAATGTGGGGTAGCTCTATGACTGAACCCTGTAAGAAAATGCAGCATTATGGTATGAGTTAACTTCTGTTTATGTTGCTCTTTTGTGTAGGCTGAATTTGCAATACATTTTATTTTTCCCTCCAAGGTTTCTATTACTGGTTCACAGCTACTGACTCATCCTGTTCATTGATAGTAACTCTGTGAGCTACTTTGCCTTGGGTGATTTGATTTAGAGTACTGCTGTTTAACACCTTTCGGGAAAATGTTAGCACTGAAAGGGATACTAACTTTGCCACAGAATGATACTGAAGAGAAATCAGGGATGGGCAAACTAATATATTAGCCTGGTTGTTAAAAGTAGACCTTCCTTAGTGGTTTTTGCCCACCATTTTTTGTTGATAACATTGCTTTCCTCCCAAGATAAGCCTGTGACAAATTTGATTTCTATTTGGCAAGGGCAGAAAGGAATGCCGGACAAAGTCATAGTATCTTGATAGAGACCTTGCTTCCAGAATCCTGTGATTCTGTCCTCTGAGGTTAGGTCACTGTTGGTGATGGAGACAGTGTTTATGTAAGGGGGGGCAACATTTGAATGCAATGCAATGAAATGCTTGTGTTGACTGCATCAGCTTTAATGGAATTTATTTGATGGAGATTCAACCTCTGAATCTGACTGTGTTGTGTGCTATGTTTTAATGCAGAGAATCATCATCCGGGGACCTGCTGCAGATCACAAGAAAACATGGGGAGGAGTAAGTTTCCTTTCACTTTTGAATAATTTAGACCCTCTCCATATTAATCCACTGCATTCAAGAAATAAGATGTGCAGTTCAATTTTTTTTTTTTTTTACATCACTGTTCATTTCTATACAATGTGTGCTTTCTCCTCTCAGGTGTCATCCCCATGAAATTCCCACCACCAAGTCACCGGTGTACCATCACCACAGTCCTTTATGCTCTTCCCACCCTGTTTTGATCCCTCATCCTCCTCTCCTGAAGAATGTCTCTAATTTATAGTTGCCTGTTGATTTTGATTTTCATTTATTGTATTTACTTTTTTTCCAAGATCCTTTATTTAGTTCTCCTACATTCCTCCGATAAGTGAAACCACCCAGTAGTTCTTTTTCCTTCTGGCTTATTTCATTGAACATAATCCCTTCCAGCTCCATCCATGTTGTTGTGAATGGCAGGAGTTTAACTTTTTTGATTGCTGATTATTATTCCATTGTATATATATATACCTCTTCTTGATCACTGTTCTATTGGGGCATTTGGGTTGTTTCCATGGCTTACCTAATGTAAAAAGTACTGCAATAAACATAGAGATAGAAGTGTCCAAAAAATATTTTTGTGTCCTTTGGGTGGATTTCTAGGAGTGGAATTGCTGATCATATAAAAGTGGCTCAATGTTTTAGTAGTTTGAGGAACCTCCACACAGCCTTCCATAGTGGTTGAACCAGTTTGCATTCCCACTAGCAGTGTAGGAAAGTTTCTTTTTCTCCACATCCTTGCCAGCATTTGTTGTATTTCTGGTTAATGTCAGAAAGGTTTTATCTAAGGTGAGATGTGCACAGAAAGACCAGACCATATGTTGCACACTAACAAAGGTCTTTCCTCTCCCCCTCCCAGCCCTTTTCTGAATATCTCCCTGTATAAGGAGACAATACTCAAATTTGATTCAGTATAGACTTATCTTAATTCCAGCTTCTTTACAACTCTTAGCAAAGTTACTGATTTGCTTCCAGTGGTATCTAAGCCTTAGTAATAATAGTACAAGCTAAATAAATGATTCTACAACACAGCCAATAACAGTAGTAAAAATTGCAAATGTGAAATTGATGTGTAAATGGTTTTGGCTTCTCTTAATTGGTATGTCTGACCTTAACGACCATTAGGTGAATTCCTGTTATTTTTTCCGTTCTCATAAACCTGTGAGTAGCAGACTATAGGCAAATCTAAGGTCATTTCTTGATAATATTAACCATCCACTGCAGTGACTTTCTAAATAATCTTAATTGATGAAGACCTTCAAATCAATTGTTGCGTAAAGGATATCAGAGGGAGATTTGGTGTGCTGGATAATGTGGTGCAAAGCGGAGTTACAAGGCTTGAATGCAGTCTCAGTGTCTGTTACCTTGATCAAGTCTTACAGCTCCCCTAAACTTGTTTGTTCATGTCTGAGGTAGAATTAATCCTTTCTGCACTTACAGCCTCAGGAAGTTTTGATTCACATAATGTGGTAATACACATGAAAGCACTTTCAGAGCTCTGTAAAGTATAATGGAAGAGAGTAGTGTTGTCTGCTCACTGCTGCCCTTACTGGAGAAGTGTATGTTCATTTGTTCTGCTTTTAACAGTTCAAAGGAAGTTATTTGATCAGATGCTTTGTTGGCAGCAGGGCAGGGGTTAGTGCTGTGCGAATGACAGACAACACCTCCCGGGCCCCGGGTCCTGGACAACTCATGTGCCCACCCTGGGGTGGGCTCTGGTAGGCAGCCGTTCTGATTATGACTCAATCATAGCAAATTTCTTCCTGGAACCTTCTTGGGTCTTATTTGGCCTGTTTTCTCCCCTGGAAATTGATTTGACACAGAGATTTCAGCTCCTTTCCAACATTCAGAAGAGATACCAATCTCTGGTAATTTAGACACTTTTAAAAAATGGTCAGCGCTCAAGGACATACCATATCCTAACTTTGCTATTAATAGAAGCTTTCAGAGTAACTTAGCGAGGCTTGGTTGTCACCTTGGTAGACTTGGAGAATATTCTGATTAGTGGATTTCATCATGGCCAGGTGGGAAAGCAAGCTGAGCTGAGGCAGGCCACGCATTTCTTCTTGTTTCTGCTCTTTGCAGAACGATCATTGGCTCATCAGTGAGGTCACCATTAGGTGCTTACTTTAAAAGGTGCTTAATCAATTATTGTTTTAATAATCAGGCATTTAGTAAGATCCTTGCTAAAGAACTAGGCTTGCTAATGTTATCTGCAAAGATGGGTGCATTTCCCTCCTGGAGACAAGGAAGTATTTCCAAAAATGTTACTTTACAAATTCACGGAAGTTTGTAATAGCAGCAATTTGGCCATTAATTTGTGTTGACCACTAAAAGGCATCCTTCACATCCTTAATGTCAAAAAAAGATGCTATCCTTTATTGTCAAAGCTTTGCTTATTTAGCCTAATTACACTTGTTAATTGCTGATAATGTTAGTGGGGAAAAAAGCTGCTACTGTCTGCTCATTTTTTTTTTCTTTTCTGGTGATGTACAATGAAGTTTTTACTGGATTTGGCAAAGTTTCTCACATACACAGCTCAGGGTGTCATACAAAGGGACAGCAGAGGAAACTGTCACCACGACATCACACTAGCCTTACTAATTAAAGAGCTATATGCAAACAGAGCACAGATAAAAAAACCATTTAGATTAAGTAAAAAATTAAAATTGAGGTAACTCTCTTTTAGTCTTCTGTGCTACTGGGTGAAGAGTGTATATGTAAATAAATGTGTGTTAAAAGAATCTGTTATTTGTGTGGTATGAAAGAATTTTAAAGTTAAAAATGGGGGGATGAGAACAAGGTATTTAATTACTTATTAGGTCATGTCCATGTATGTGGTATTGAAATCCCATTTATGTGTGTGAGTCCTGAGCCAGGCCTTAGTAATTAGAACTGCTAAAAGTACATAATTATTTGAAATATAACAGGTATAGGTCATGGCCGTTTCACCTGCTTTATCTCATTTGCGTTGTAAGAGAACCCTGTGATGTGAACAGGATTATTATCTTCATTTCATATATTATAAAACTGAGGCGTCATGAAAGTTTGAGCTGAGGTCTACAGCCCGTCAGTGAGGAGCCCAAATGCAGATGTAGGTGTCCTTCCGTCCTACTCTTCTTTCCACCCAGTATCCATGTTCTGAACACCCCAGTGATCAGTGGTGTATAAAGTTGACTAAACACATAGGAGCTCTCTGCTGTCGTGAAAGGTCAGAAGAAAATATTTTCTTAGACCTGCGATGATGTGCAGATATTTCTCGTAGTGTGGGGGACTAGGCAGATAGGCAGAGGAAAATGACTCAGCATTCCTCACCACTTACGGTGACAGCTAAATCACAAGTGCCTCAGATAACAGAGCACCCTGAGCATCCAATCCTCTGACAGGGGCAGCCATGAGTCATGGCAGCAGGGCCCAAGGCTGAGCGCGGATTAACGCTGGGGGAGTAGATAAGAGTAGATAATTCAACTAGGAAGCTTGCTGCATACAGCCCACGTTGGGGAGCGCCTAAAAGAAGGGGCTGTGGACTCTGTTTGCCGGACCTATGTGAACGTCACCATTCTTGATCTTTGAGCTTTCTCTTAGTACATCACAGAGCAACAGAGTAGTATGAAGACAAGAGAAAACGCTGTCACACACACACACACACACACACACACACACACCTACACACAACAGCAAAGCAGCATGTATAAATAAAATTTTAAGAGAATAATTTTCACAGAGAATAAGAATTTTACAAATTGCATATAGAAGCTATCAAAATGAGATGTATGTAATGTTTCAGTGCTTATCTCTAATCATTTCAACGAGAAGTTAAAAATGTATTCTTTTCACCACCAACCCTCCCTCCCTCTCCCCACCCCACCTCCACTCCCCACACCAGCAGCTGATATATTCGTGACAAAATGACAAGTCTTGGTTCACCACAAGACAATTTCTTGGGAGTTTTCTTGCTAAGAAAGTTAAACCAAAGTAACACCTGGAACTAGGACTGTAGAATGGAGGCTCTTAGGTGGGGAGGGAAGTGATTGGAAATAAAGGTGGGAGGGAGGGGCCCAGGGGCGATGACACACGCCTGTGATGTGTGAACCTGTTCACCAGCATCACACAGTATGGCAAAGCAGTGTTACCTCAATAAAAGGAAAACATTTTTTTGCCAGTAATAAAAAATTGGAATTGTTTATAAAACTGAGTCAAATTTGAGTGTTATATTACATCTGTTTTCCATGTGAATTTTTTCCTATGTGAGAAGACACTTAACACGTGTACTCAGTGGTACAGCAGCAATTTGTGGTGTTGCGAACCTAATTATGCAATTATGGAAGACTCGTTTCATTGTCTTTACATTACGAACAGAGCTTCTGGAGGAAATTCATATTGTATCAATACTAGGAAACCATGGATACTCCTGCTCAAAATAATATTTAGCCAGGACTCTTTGGAAGATTAATTTTGCTTTGTCATATAGAAAGTGATATCTGAAGTGGCTGAATGACAGCAGGCAGAATAGTGGTGTTGAATAATTATAATAAAAATCTGAAGATGACTTGGCATTTTCTGTTTCCCCTCATCCAGTGCTTAGTCCTTGGAAGTAGCTTTTAGATGTATAAAATCTTAATCTGAAAGCTTAGTTCCCATCTTCGTTTTCCAGGGTTAGTAGTATAGTCACGTACCTTTGATTTTTAGTACAGTGAACACAGTCTCGCTGTAGAGAAACAGTAGCAGTGTACAGCCAGTGCGTCTTTGCCTTTTAGTAAAGCATAGTGTCATCCCTTTGGGTCTCTGGATGTATGTGGCTCCTTTAGTCCAAGGAGACTAAACACATCCCCAACCTACCAGGACTTTCTGGAAGGCGCAATGGCTCCCAGCTATGGAATGTCCCTTTCTTTGATTCACTGTGGAAGCTACTGGTCAGACCAATCCTAACTTTTTTGTTTTTTTTAATTTTGAATTTATTTTTTAATTGTGGTAACATTGAC